TATCTAGGACTCCCTGTGGGATTGATATCTAGGACTCCACTTGAGTCCTATATTACTTGAGTGATACGTATACTTGCGTTGATAAGTGTGACTTTGCAATTATTGAATATTTATTGCATCCATATTTATGGAATCTATAACTGTTATTAGGTTTTAGTATAGTTGCTAAGGAATTAATTCTTTTAGCAGCAGTATTAAATACTTATATTTTTAAGCATATATAAAGTCGCGGTCAAAGGGAGAGAAAGATGCGCTCTTTACTAGTGATGATTATGAGTGTCTGAAGCTGTTGAAGAGGAGCAGAAATCAACAGGAGTTGGAGCTGAGGATGTTTCAAATCTATCGACATCAAGGGGTAGCATTGCCACTTATGCTCGTTTCAGCAAAGGAACTGGTGACACACTTGTCCTTGCCTCTATGTTCACCACATAATTATCAGAATGGATCACAGATCCCATGGCTTCTCGTCACGTGACAGGTACTGCGAGTGAATACTCTTCATATACTCGTTTAGCAGTAGCAGAGAATATATAGACTGGTGATGGTACAGCGCAGCCTTTAGTTGGTAAGGATACAATGAGATGTACATTGTCCAATGTTTTGCACGTCCTTCTTTTCTAATAAACCTCTTATCCATTAATGTCATTATTTTCCGGTTAAAATGCATTATTTTGTTTGATATTCCTCAAGTGATCTTCCAAGAGAAAGAGACGGGTCAGACACTTGAGACTAGAATGTGACATAGTGGACTATAGTACTTTGACTAAGAGGGGATGAACTCAGTTCTGACATCCATGGTGGAAAGGGTTATAGTAAAAGAATCTTGGAGGAACGTCGAGCATGTGTTACTGTTACATCGCAGACGTTTGTATCCATCTATGTATGAAAAGACAAATAAGGAGAAACTGTGTGTGATGCTTGTGAGTTTGACAAGCTCACTAGGAGATCTTATGTCAGTTATGGGAATAGAAGCTCTGATGTGTTTGATTTAATACATTCTGATGTATGAGGACATTTTCTTATTAGTTCTATGAATGTTTATCAGTATTTTGTTATGTTTATTAATTGCTTCTCTCGTGTTATCTGGATATACTTGATGAAACAGAAGAGTGAGGTGGTTGTTCTCTTTCAGGATTTTCATAATGCAATCCAGACACAATATGGTGCAGTTGTGAAGACGCTGAGATCTGAAAATTGAACAAAATATATCAACAAATCATTTGGGGACTACCTGTCAGCTCAAAGGATACAACACAAAACCACTTGCCTATGCATACTAGCACATAATGAAATAGTAGAGAGGAAGAATCAGACTCTTCTAGAGAAAGCCCAGAACATGATGTTGGCAATGAATGTTCCACAATACTTATGGGGGCAAGAAGTGTTGACAACCACTTAATTGATTAACAGGATGCTCTCACGAGTGTTAGAGTGGAAGTCTCCTTGTCGGATGTTAAAAGAGGACAATAGTGTGACTCTTCTATTGAAGGTATTTGAATGTGTATGCTTTGTGAAAGATAATAGGTCATCTGTAGAGAAGTTGGATCCCAGAGCAGTAAAATGCGTGTTCATTGCTGCTCAGAAGGGTTATATCAGCTTGAACTTAATTGATAAGAGACTTTTTGTGAGTATGGATGTGTTATTCAGAGAGTTTGAACCATACTATGCTCTGGAGGTGAATTCGCTCTTCGGTGACTCAACAGTCACTGGAGATATGAGGTAAGAGTGAGTGAGTAGTAGTAGTGATGGAGTGGTGCAAGTGGATAAATGACATTTCTTATGATGTGGGATGAATCAAAAGAGGAGACAAAAATTGAAGAGAATGGCTCCAAAGGCAGTGAGATTCAAACTGAAAGTGTGCTAAGGTTGTATACATAAAGGAAGAAACAAACTGAGGGAACAGAGTTTGCAGTGCCAACAAATCCATTGTCTGAGTCTTCCCCAACTCTTGAGAGACCTACACTAACCACCTTTGATTTAGAACTCTTAGGTGAAATCATTCCTTCTCTGTCCACTCCTACTTTCCAACGTTAAGAGGACCTACTGCAGCCTGATCTTTTTGGGTAGGAACTTGACATTGCGAACTTTATTTCTTATTATAACATCTCACATTTGCATGGAGCATTTATTGCATCATTAGACTCTGTCTCTATACCCAAGTGTTGGTAGGTTGCTAAAGAGGATCCCAAGTGGAAAGCGACGATGTATGAAGAACTTGGAACTCTTGATAAAAACAGACATGAGAGATTCTACCGCTATCAGCATGAAAGAAGGAAGTTGGATGCAATTGGATCTTCACGATAAAATAAATTTCAGAAGGGAAGGTGGAGAGGTACAAAACACGACTAGCAACAAAAGGGTACGGTCAGACGTATGACATTGACTACGATGAAATCTTTGCATCAGTAGCAAAAATGAGCACTGTGAGAACATTTACTTCTATGTCAGTGAATAGTGGATAGAGACTTCACCAAATGAATGTGAAGAATGTCTTTCTTCATAGGGAGCTACTGGAGGAGGAATATATGGAGATACTACCGGGATTCAGTACATCTCAGATAGTAAGTAATATATGTAGCCTCAGAAATTCACTGTATGACTTGAAGCAGTCTCCTCGAGCCCAATTTGACAAGTTTAGAACGATGATGGTTGACATGTGATATCAACAGATCAATGTAGACTACACAGTGTTCTTTCGGTAACATGAATGTCACACTACCATACTTGTTGTGTATATGAATGACATAATTATTACTGGTGATGATGAGACAGAGATTACTCAACCGAAGTAAGATTCAGGAAGCAATTTGAGATAAAGGATATGAGTCACCTGAGATACTTTCTTGAGATTGAAGTGGCTCATGGATCTGAGAGAATGATCTTATCCCAAAGAACGTATGTACTGGATGTTCTCATGGAGACGAATATGCGGGAGTGCAAACCTACAGTCTCTCTAATTGATTAGAAAGACAAGCTCAGTATAGAGGCAGGTGAATCGGTTGATCGTGAGGGGTACTGGAGGCTGGTGGGCCGCCTGATGTATCTTTGTCACACTAGACCTGATATTTCTTTTGTAGTAAGTGTGGTGAGCTGGTACATGAATGATCCAAGGAAGAATCATATGAATGTTGTGTATTGGATTCTAAGGTATCTAAAGAGTGCATCAAGGAAAGAGTTGACATTCAGAAAGAATGGACATATAAATATTGAGGGTCTGTGATTATGACTGAGCAAGTTGTGCTGATGACAGAAGATCCACATCAGGATACATGTTTGTAAATCGTAATTTGGTCTCGTGAAAAACTAAAAAATAATCAGTTGTAGCAAGATCAACAACAAAAGAAGAATACAGGGTCATGATATTAGGAGTTGCTGAGATGATGTGGTTGAAAGCCTTGTTCATTGAACTCAAAGTGGATCAGGGAACTCAAATGAAGTTGTGGTGTGACAACAAGTCAGCAATCGACATTGTTAACAACCCGGTGCAACACGACAGAACAAAACATGTGGAGATTGATAGATTCTTCATCACGGGGAAGCTGAATAACGAATTGTTGGAACTAAGTCATGTAGCTACTGGAGAGCAGGTGACTTAATGCCTCACTAAAGGACTTAGCTCAGTGGACTTAGCTAGACTATGTGAGAAGATAGACTTAGTGAATATCTTTCGCCCACCTTGAGGGGGAGCGTTGAGATTTGTATCTAATGTAGAGTCCTATTTGTAAATAGATGAAGTCTAGAGATTTATTTGTAAATTTTGCAACTTTTAAGGCTCTATGTAATCCCATCATCAATCTAATGAAGGAGGTTTTTTGTTTTCAATTGTTAGGCTTATTATGTACTTGCTAAGTTTCTAGTATTGCTTCTGTACAAAATTTGAATCTAAAACTTGGACATGCATCTTAAAACTGACATCATTCCAAGCTTGTAAGCATGACAAAAAGAAAGAAAATTTGACATGTTGGTCTTGTTTACTTAATTTTGCAATTTGAGATATCTCACACGCATGCATGTATAGGCACCTATGATAATCTCTTTTAAAAAGAAAATTGTGAAGATAATTTGAATTGTCCGTGCTCAAACTCGTAGCACAGTAGTTGGAAATAAAACGAAGAATCCTAGGAGGTTGAGTTCCAACGCTCATCCTGCACCCAAAAAAAATTTTTTAAGACACTCTTATGAATACAAACCCTAGAAAGTAAAAATGAATAATTATAACACCAATGCAACTTTGATTTGGAAGACTACCATCATTAATGTATAGTATCTTAATTATGTTCTTTGTATGCTCTTTCTCTTTGTTTATCTCACTTTAACATAAGACTGAAACATTATGACTGCTTGCAATGCAAGTCTTCCATATCAAAAGAGAGAAAGCCACTCCCTAACTAAGTTCACACTTAAAATAGGGCTACATCAACCATTAAGAAATGCTATGAAAGGACTTGCAAATAAAAAATTTATCAGATATCAACTTTTTTACATTAAAAATGTATTATTTTAATATAAGGTGTTTTACATAGATATCAAGTTTTCACTCATATATGGCCTGACTTGGATATAATATTTTATGAGATATAAGTTCTTTTACTCTACTTTAAGTTGCTCACTCAAAAATAAGATCAATAAGAAAATCCATGAAAGCAATACAAAACATCTTCAAAGATCTAATAAAAACCTGAAGATATTGCAGAACCAAATTGAACAAAAGGACAAATTTGTTTTCAAATAACAACATTTAAGATTCAGCGTATTCTTAGAAATAAAACATGTTCTGATTCACATTTCCACAAACACATACCGCGCAGGACCATCAGCACATTCTTGGGAGCCGCTCCAGTTGCTTCCTCCATCTCCTTCAGACGCTTCCTTGTTACAAGAACTCGCTGTCCCAACAGAGCTGCAACTCCCATCCTGAGAAACTAGCCGATGCGCTGAATCATTAAAAGAGTTCAGAGATCCGTAGTCCCTTAGAAGATCCCTCCCAGGTGAACCGCATTGCCCTAAGTTCCTCCATTTCTCAAATTTCTCTTTGTTCAGAAAGCATCTGCTTGGGGAAGATGAACTCGCAGAACTATCAGAAAGATCCATTTGGCAAGTGAAATCCAAAACCTTGAGGGACTCCAACTTCTTCAATGCAAACTTCAGCCTTTTTTCAGCTCTTTCCCTCATCTCTTTCTCCAGCTGCTTCTCTAGCTCTGCTAACTGTAGCCCCAAAATCTTAGAAAAAAAAGTTCCAAAAATTTGATTTTGGAACAAATAATGGAAAGCAGAGAAGAGATTTTTTTTTTTTTTTTTTTGGTTTTGCTATTTGTTTTTACCCTTTTAGCCATCTGGTCTGCTTCAGCTTGGGCAGCCTTGGAAGCCGCTCTCTCTGCAAGCAACCTCCCTCTCAAGCACTCCACCGTCTTCATGCCATCTTGAGGTTCTCCCGCCATTGATTCCCCTCTGAGAAGAAATTAGCCAATCAACATTATCAACAAAGAAACTGGGAGAGTGAACCAGAGGGAGAGAGAAAGAGAGAGACTGAAAGTAGGAGGCTTTCTCTGATTCTTGACTGGTTCGGTTCTTCTAGAACTAAACTGCTAAATTGCTAAAGATGGAAAATTGAAATCAAAGAACTGGAACTGGAGCCAGGGAGAGTGCTACTGGTTTTCTATCTGGATTTTTGAAACACCTTTTTGTCAGATCTCATTAATTTCCCCACCACAATCGCAACATACAAAACAGAAGAAACCATATAAATATTTATGGCACCTCATAATTTAATCATCTGAATTAATCAAAATTTAATTTTTATTAATCATTATGAACCAGAAAAGAAAATTCTGATAATTTTGTATAGATCACCTCGAAATAGGAAGAACAAATAGTTTTATTAATTTATTTTGAAAACTAGCAAAGTACTCCATGAAAAAAATACTAATTTCTCAGTACAGACGTTATGATTCACGTGAGTATAGTGAATAATACTTACAAATCTAATCTGCTCTTCAATTTAACCCAAATGAGTATAATTTTAAGAAAGAGAAATTATATTTTATGAATATGAGAAACTGAGAATTGTTGTGGTATATATACGAAGATTAAAATAGAAGAATGATCTTTGACGAAGTGAAAAATAGAATGAGAAAATTCATACCAGAAAATTAAACATGGCGGAACACACAAATTTACGTGGTTCTGCAAATTGCCAATGTCCACGGAGTTGCAGAGGATTTTATTACTTGAAGAATTTACATCAGTCGATCGTCTCGCCTTACAAAAGGAATCTCTCACTTCCTTGCTCTCTCTTCTTCTCTCTCTACACCGAGATACACGGAAGAAGATAATCTTATAAGAGAAATAAACCCAATTTCTCTTCTGTCACAAGCCACCAAGAAGAAGCCAATGGAGAACAATCTTCTTCTTTATATCACAAGGAACTACTGCTTGCGCTTTCCTTCCTCTATCCTAAGGAAACCCGAAGAAGAACGGGGTCGCGACGTTTTGCGATCGGGAGTGGGAACGGTCGGACCGGGGTCCGACTCAACAGAGTGACATAAATATAATGTTTAATAGTAATAAAAAGGTGAATTTACATTCATACCACCCAATCTATGTAAAAATTTGTTAGATATTTAAGTAAATTGGAAATGATTGGTATGAATGTAAATCTTTCTAAGACAATATTTTTAGAATTTGAACCCGGCTGACCTTTCCTAACAAAAATTCTCATTAGTGAGGTTGAAAGATTCGAAGATTGGAATTTCATCATTTATTAAGTTTAATAATAATTTAATTATTCGATAAGCTTAAGTAATTATGATAAGTATTGACTTCGTATAGGAACATTTAAAGGCCTCATGGTCCTATTGATGCCTAAGGATACTTTAAGTACACCCATGAATGGCAAGCAACTGGCGTTAATCATATGACATGCTTTTTATCTCCCCTTTGATTGTTCTTCCATTTGTCTGAATTAAGGTTCTGTTCGGGATAGTTTTCTTTTTGTTTCAGATGGTCATCACAGTTCTAGTGAGAGAAGTAGTTTTTGAGATGGGAAGCTGTTTTTCTCAACCCAACCTCTTAAAATGCACTGTGTGTAAGTTTGGCATGCATGAATGTAAATTTGTTTAATATTAATGATATTTTATGACTCTGATTGAGTCCAATAATTTTAAATTAGTATTAATGCATTCATTAAATAAAAAAAAATGGAGTTAATATTTTCTTAGTTAAATTTTATTTTATTGATTTTTTGGCCTATTAACTTACTTTAAAATAAGTATATTAAAATATTAATTAATTAATTACATGCTAGATTTAATCTTATAAATACATGTAAAAAAAACATCATTAATTAAATTAAATCAAAATATTCCACTCTAAACTTTAAAGAAACCCTCCTCCAAAAAGAGGTTGAAATGCTCTAAAGTTATTTTTAATGATTAAATAAACTTGATTAATTTTACCAAAGTAAAAGTAAAGTTCACTCATCCAAAGTATCATTAATCATAGCTCATGATTTTCATTACTCTCCAAGGAAATTAAGTGTGGGTTTAACTCAAGATAAACTCCATAATTGCTTATTATTACATTTAATTAGCATTTGTTATTAATTATTATTCCTAATGAAAATTTAATTATGAAAAAAACATAATCCTTCCAAAATTTAAAACTAATTTGGAAAAAAAAAAAACTCTATAAATTGACAATGTATTTTTTCATGTTTTTATTTTTTTCTTAAAAATAAATTTTATAAGATATATTATATCATTTAATTAAAAATAAATAATTTGCATCCACCATTAATCATAAAATTTTAAATAGCTAATATTCAAAGTATTTTAAGCATTACCTAACTTATTTGATAAAGATATTTGAATTGTAACAAACATTATAGGATCTAGTCTCACCAATATAAAATTTGTGTTTAGGTACTCAACATTAAAAAAAATTACCAAACCACCCAAAAAAAAACATTTGTAATATTAAATATTATCATTTTAGCTACTTGAAATTAAAAATTTATGATGATGTTAAAGATATGTAAGTAGATCTAAGTTCTCTATCTCTCTAACTACCTCTTACTATTAAATTTGTGTGCATGATATTTATATATTATATATTTATAATATATAGGAGTGAATTATGCATTTATTTTTTTTTAGGTGGTAGATGTGTAAATACATAGGAATTGAGCAGTATGTATGTAAATACTTGGATCATTTACATACATACCATTCAGTTGTTATATATTTACATATCTTCATGCCTAAACTTTTATTATTACATATATATCACTCAAATCTTTTTTATCACAATAAAATTATGATTTTATCTTAAAAAAAAAATGAAATACACCCTTTTATGCATAGGGAAGGTAGTATTAGGGCTGTAAAAATGGCTCGTTGTTCGCGAACAGCTCTTGTTCGGCTCGTTCTCTAATTTAACAAGCCGAACACAAACAAAGATTTGTTCGTTCGTGTTCAGCTCGTTTTTTACTCAAAATACTATTATATATATATATATATATATATATACATAC